CCCGGCAGTCGCACTCGCGACCACTCGGCTAACGAGGCAGTCACGAAATTTTTAGTTAAAAAAAAAATCTTTGACTTTCGCTTAAGAGACATTAGATGAAAATTTTAGGCACTATTCACATCGCACGTGTCACCCGACGAGAAATACCTCTTCGAGAATTACATGGCGTGATGTTTTGATAATGTACTAGTACTACGAGTTCGTATGCGCTTTCGAAGTTTGCTTTGTGCAATGGTTCACCAGTTATTTCTTTGTAAAACTATTGTATTACCTAGAACCCCACTATTGTATTACCCATTGTACTTCGAGACGAAAGCGAAATAAATTCACGGTGTAGGTTATACTACACTACTATTATATAAATAAACATGTAAAACGTTCAATATGTAATTCTGCAACCTAGCAAGTACGAATATAACTTTTTCAAAGTCATAAATTCTTGATTCACTTATTATAACACTATATTTAGACATTACTTACACATTTTAAAACATTATTATTATTATAGTTTCACAAACTCTTTTACCAGTAAAATTACTTTTAGAAACTATCACTCGAATACTGAAAGGCTGCTCAATTTTAAGTCGTACTTAAATATAATGCCATCTCTGTCATTCTCCGCCCTATGGACACCGCGGAATACACAGTAGGAGAATGCCCTGCGTGGGCTGAGCACCGCCGTGCCCTCAGGGATATGATTGGCGACGGCGACCTCTCGCGTCCGGCCCTAGTGCGGGGCATGATGCGGAGCGAGGGGGACTGGGATGCCCCTCCTTTTGCGAAGCACTAGAGCTAGCTAAAGAGGAGGCGGGGCGCGTGAGGCAGCGAAGCGCTGCCTCCTCGCAACCCAGCCGTCGGGGATCGCGGGACGATCTCCGGCCACCGTAAGCGCGGGCCTGCGGACGGCGAGCATGGGTGGCTCCCCGTCCGACCAGAACCAGACCCGAGCGTACGGCGCCGAGCGTTCCGCGCGACACAAAGAGCCATCAGACCATCACGGATGGGGGGCCCAATAGGGCTGATGCCGATACGGATCCGCGGAGAACGGGTAACCGGGGCTCCGGCTCGACGTGCAGGAGTAGGAACGGGGTAGTTTTTAGTCAGTAAGAGTCTGACACTACCTCATCTAGGCAGGAGAAGGCATTCGATGATTTTCCTCCCTTAAAAAATGTCTCTGTCGTTTTACAAAGTCTGTAGTGACAGAACTATGTATACATAAGCGCGACTTCAAATTGAGTAACGTTTGAGTATTTCGCCATATTATGACTACTGTTTTTTAACATGATAACAACAAATGACGTTTATTCATTAGATTTAACTTTGAAAAATTTCTGTATAGACGTTTGAATCAGATTATCCGGGGACTTATCTTGTTTTTTATATTTTCGACGCAATGGAGTGATTTCCTTATCCGGCTTCACTGTAGAGCAATTGTCGGACGAACATTCTAGAATATATTGTTTATATTTCTTTGATTTCTTAATCTTATTCGTATCTCTAATCTGCACTTTCAATTCTTCGTCCCGCCAACGGATTTTGACTTTTATATTTTTATCCTTAATAGATATATCTTTCCTATTCTTTTTGCGTTTCTTAGACTCGACTTTTAACACGAAATCATCATTTAGTTTTCGTTTACGGCTTTTCTTGGTTGTATTATTGACTGTTTCTACCTCTTTTCTATCTTCTTTTTTAGTTCTTTGCAAGCCTACTTCATTTAGGTATTGGTCTTTGAAACTTTCGACGTCTATGTCTATATTCTGGCTCTCCAACACTTCTTTATTATACGGACTAAACTTGAAAGCGCATTTCTCGCTCTTCTCCGGCGATTTTAGTCCAAGTTTCTTAATAAAATCCTCATTTTCCATATTTTCTATTTTAATCATGTCTATATTCACAATTTCGTCTGGAGCGGAGATTTCTAAGCTTGAATTCTTCAATATATCGACAGTTTTTAGTTTATTTGGTGATTTGAACGTAGTGTATCTTAAAATTTCAGAGTTCTTATCGTATTTTGCCGCCAAATTTGCTTCAGGACGTTTCTTTGGAGTCACAAATGTGTTTTGTTCGGAGTCGACTTCTTGTTTGATGGGCGTTTTCGTATTTTCTTTATTTGATATAGGCGGTGGTGTGTTCTGAAATACGTATAATAATAATTAGTATGACTTTAATTAATGCATAATGCATGTAATAAACAAAAAGTGGTGTATTTGTTGCTTGTACTGACAATTTATTTAATCGACTTCAAAAAACAGTTCTCAGTCTGACCTGAGGCCTTAGTACGAGTTTCATTTTCATTTAAAGTAAACGTAAAGAGTACGCGTTCGGCGCTGTGATTGGCCGGCTTAATGACCCAACCAATCACTCTTGATTTGTTGTGGTTGTTTCATACGAGCCGGCCAATCACAGCGCCGAACGCGTACTCGTTTGGAATACTTTCAACGTAAAAGACACTCGTACTAAGGCCTCTGTATGTTCGTTTGAGCGCAATTATCTCGTAATTGGCTTAACCGATTTTTAAGCAGTTTGCAGAAAAGTGTTTGATATTATTATACTTAGGATAATGTATATAATAATTAACCGACTTCAAAAGAAGAGGGGGTTGTAGTCGGCTTTTCTAATGTAAGAATTATGGTATACCTGATGGTAAGCAATCGGCGTCGCTCATCAAGTCATCAACACCAGAGCAGTTAACATCGAGAGAAGAGAAGGACAGTCTATACAAACGTGTACATGTGAACATTAGCTCATGACGATACCTAAGTACGTGTGTCGCCTGGACAGTCACCGCTACCATCAGTTGACTGGACAATCTCTTTACATGAGCTGCTGTTTACATGTGAACATTATGGTACTTACATCCAGAGCCGCAATGACTTCAGGAGTGGTGTCGTACTTTTTCGGTGAATTCCATTGTATGACGGGATCTTTTTGTTTCGTCTCTTTCAGCAAATTGTCGAACACCTCGTTTAGGATATCACTGTAAATATAAATTGTATTATAATATGGATCATCATCAACAGTTGAAGACAGTTCATTGCTGCAACAGTCCATAACAGTGCGCTCCTGGGTGCTTACTCTTGAAACCAATCTCAATGTCAATGCAATTTCTATCCAATAAAATCTCAATAATTATTCAATGTCAAACTATACAACCCCTATCGTAGCTGTTAAAATAGCACTCAGAGTGCGGAATATAAAGCCAAACTCAAAACCATTTAGTTCATTCAATATCCACGCAATACGGATGCAATGGGCGCCAGTGTTGCAACTCAAGAGTACGAAATTTCACAATGTCAATGTCGAACGATCGGAATTGGATTCAAGAGTAAGCCGCCTGAACTACGAATCTTCTCTTCACAAGAGGAATTGCTTTATCTTCATGTTCAGTAAGATATCGTAGTATAAAAGGTTCAGGTTCATCAGAGAGCGCTGTTGCCCGGTCTCTGTCTAATGTGGAGTCACTTAGTCGGGTATATGACACCCGCGGGAAGAGTAGGGGTGGTGACATAATGTATTATTGTATAGGACTTACATTAATAATTATAATTTTATCACTATATAGTATTAAGTCGTTTTTGGTGTCTATTCCTATGTTTTATGTTTAGATCTTTATAACTACGCAAAGGATTTTGATGCGGATCCATTTTTGTAATAGAAACAGTGATTCCAAAGAAAGATTTTATATAAACATCTATCTTTATAATTAATACCTATCTCACTAATTGTATAAATGCGAATGTTTGTCAGTTTGTGTCTATATTTGTTACACAGGCACGCTTAGTCGGCTGAAGGGATCGGGATATATCCAACAGGGGTAGATTATGGTCTTTTTTTTTAAGGAGGAAAAATCATCGAATGACTGCTCCCGCCTGGGTGAGGCGGGAGGGAGTGTCAGACTCTTACTGACCAAAAACCACCCCGTTCCTTCTCCTGCACGTCGAGCCGGAGCCCCGGTAACCCGTTAGGTTCTCCGTGGTTCTAGATTATGGTCTGGGACAACACAGGCTGCTTTATATCCCAGTGGTGTTATTTATGTCTTGTTTACTAATAAAATCTATAACTATGGTCAGAATTTTAATTAGATTCCAGATTTGACAATATAGCTACTGTCATTTTGTGAAATAATGATACCACATATAATAGTGTAGTGATGAACACAAAAATCGATAAACAATCAGTGTGTGTGTTTTATAATAAATGTTACAGAAAGTGACAGGATAGCGATAGCGATAACGGCGACAATTTATAAAATAACTTATTACCATAATGCATCTATCTGTTTTATTTGTCATGTTCCTACATTCGTTACATTTTTTATTTATTTCACAGACAATTATAAAAGAAAAGTCTCAGATCGTTAATTAATCGTCAAAACTGAATTATCGGTTCAGAAATATTTAATTTCCTGATATACTTAGTTTTCGAGAGTAAAATTATAAACGAGAAGATTCGATCCAGAAATATTGCATATCCATATCGAATAATTTCGCAACGTCACTATTTAGTACTTGTCATAACGTTGCGACACTGAAATTGTCAAATCTGGAATCGAATTAAAATTCCGAGTGTAGTATCAACTACTTGTAAGTGTAATATTGATTGTCTATTACATTACCGTATTTTCTATGGAATGCATAACATAACATAATATCACGCCTTTTACCCCCGAAGGGGTAGGCAAAGGTGCACATTATGCCACTGTACAATGTAACACCCACTTTTCACTATTTATGTTAAGAGTCCCATGTAATAGGGGGTGAGCCTATTGCCATATACCGGGCACAATTCCAGACTCCGTGCTACTACTGAGATTTTTTTAAAAAAACCCAGTAATACTTTGCACGACTCGGAAATCTAATCCGAGACCCCTTGTCAGGCAGTCACACCAACGAGGTAGTCTATGGAATACAGTGTATGTATTATCTGTGCAATAAAGTTTAAACTGTCAAACACCAAGCGGTCACCGGTGACCGCAACCTATTGTTCTATAATTGTGTCTATAATGACGGTACTCGACGAGTTAATAAGTGGAACGCGGGCGATGCCGCGGGCAGACGCCACTAATAAACGATACTTACTTAACAATCTTCCGTTTCTCCCTCAAAGGCTTCGGCTTCCGGAACTTCCTTCGTAAACCCTCAACTGTCTCCTCATCAAGAATAACATTTTTCGCGCCCAAATTTTTCATTTTTACTCTCAATGACTCTTCTAACATCTTCATCGGCGATTGGTATTTGCATTCAGACGTGTCCAAGTCGATTTTACTCGGTGATTCCTTCCCTGGGTTTGGTTTCTTACTCAGTAGACTTTCTAGTATATTTGTTTCTTGTATCTTCGGTGGTTTCAAGTTTAATTCTCGACGCGATAACGTTGTGTTTGTTGGCGCTGTAAAATAATCAATAATTGGTTTAGTTGTTCGCATCATTTCGTAAAAAAATAGATTACACGATGAACATAACATAACATCACGCCTTTTATTCCCGAAGGGGTAGGCAGAGGTGCACATTATAATCACTGTACAATGTAACACCCACTTTTCACTATTTATGTTAAGAGTCCCATGTAATAGGTAGTGAGCCTATTGCCATATACCGGGCACATTTCCAGACTCCGTGCTACTACTGAGAATTTTTCAAAAACCCAGTAGTATTTTACCCGTCCCGGGAATCGAACCCGCGACCCCTTGCCCGGCAGTCGCAATTGGCCAACAAAGCAGATTACACGATTATTATTAGTTTATTTAATATTGTTATATGATTAACTGATTAGACGGCCTTGTTGCCAATCCCCATAAATCCGGTAACGCAATTGTAACGCCTCTGGTGTTCCAGGTGTCCTTGGGCGACGCCGATTGCTTACCATCAGGTTATTCCATAAAGAAAAGGTATGAAAAATAAAGAACTCACGCTCAGGTTTGACATCATGTTTAATTTCTTCAGCACCTGCAGATGAACACGACGGCCTGAAAAGTTACAATGAAAATATTATAAGTTCAATAATGTAACTCACTGGTCAAATCACATTTGGAGTACCTAATTGAGATCTGGGGATCAGGTGCTAAGACTAACCTAAGCCCATTACAAAGAGCCCAAAACAAGCTCATTAAAACTCTTTTCCATTATAAATATTCTACACCCACAAAAACAGTATATGAGAAATCTAAGCAGTGGCGTAGCGTGCATTGGGGGGGCCCCGTATAAAAATTTGTTTAGGGGCCCTTGAAGGGTAAACATTTTTCATAAGAGATTTTTTAAATAAAATACTTATAATTAGTGTGAAAACCTAAAATCTTTTCAGGCAACTCCCTCTGTCCTTTTAAAGCGGAAAATTAGCGGACCTTAATTACTTTTATTTTTCTTAAGTTTCTGCCATCCTTTGAACGCATGCTCTACGCGGGAAAATGGTTTTTTTTACTTTTGTCATTACTGAAATAGAATAAAAATTGGGAAGTTTTTATTAATTTTTGCTTAGGCACGTTGGGGGCCCCTGTAGTCCGGAGGCCCCGTATAATTGATACGGCAGATACGGCGCTAGCTACGCCCCTGAATCTAAGTTATTCAATCTAACACAACTATACACATATTTGTGTCGCTCTAGATCTAGATTTAATATAAAAAGTAATCTGTGGAGAACGTAGTGGGTAACATATTTGCCAAGTATAATGTATAAGCTGAATTATGTATAATTAGTAATATGTTACTGTTTGTTTTTCCTTAAATAAATCTATATCTATATATACTTATAATAAATCTGTAGAGAGGTCAATTCTGTACATAAAATATATTTAAAAAATAACTATCAAGGGGTGGTTAGGGATCGCTACTGATGCCAAAAATGCAATCAGAAAAATTTTTGTCTGTCTGTCTGTCTGTCTGTATGTTCGTTATGGAAACAAAAACTACTCGACGGATTTTAACGAAATTTGGCACAATTATTCTTTATACTCTTGGGCAAGTTATAGTATACTTTTCATTATGCTACGATCAATAGGAGCAGAGCAGTGAAGGGAAATATTGGGAAAACGGGAGAAGTTACTCCATTCATTAACTTAATACACAAGGAGTTACACGCTGACGGAGTCGCGGGCATAGCTATCTATACTTTTCTGCCGGAAGTCACTATTCCACGCGGACGAAGTCGCAGGCAAAAGCTAGTAAATAAATTTTGCACATGTGTTCTCATAAAAAATATCACCACTCATCGCCATTCAATTAAACATACAGTTACATAGAAAAAACATCACACACAACTTAAGAAACAAACATAAACTCGAACTAAGGACGGCACGAACAAATTATGGGAAAAAACGCTTTTGTTTGATCCCTCAAACAAAAGCGTTTTTTTCACAGCTGTTTAATAGATTACCAGATGACATAAAAAACTGCGATAACATTAAGGCATTCAAAACTAAACTTAAGGAACATGTACAAACATTGTACGTCTCGTTCGTTTTTGTTTTTAATTTTAAATATGTATTCTATTTTCTTTTCTTTATTTTAATAATTTTCTTGCTGTGTGCCTGTTTTTGATGTATTTATAATTTTAATTTTGTCTTAGTGAATCTGTAAGTGGCTCAATGTGACTATTTTTCTGCTTAATCTATGTAATATAGCTGTTAATACACCATTCAATAAATAAAAATAGAATGAATGTAACTTCTTACTGTACTAGAGGATTTTGTCATATGTTTCATAGAAGATACCTAAGGAACCTCTGTATCTCATTTTAAGTGAACAATGTATCTGTTCTTATGAGAAATAAATATTTTAAACCCATGTAAGAAATATAATTAGCAGTCAGAGACAGCTTGGATTATGGGTCTCCTATACATAGGAACGAAAGAGTCGTGGTGGCCCGGAGGTTTAAGACGCTCACTTCTTATGCATGAGGGTGCGGGTTCGAAACCTACCAACGGCAAGTACCAATGTGACTTTTTCCGAGTTATATGTACTTTCTAAGATTATTTAAACACCACTGACAAACGGTGAAGGAAAAACATCGTGAGGAAACCTGGACTTATAATTTCTAATTATAAGTTTGAAATCGGCAACCCGCATTGAGCAAGCGTGGTGATTAACGCTCTAACCTTCTCCGTGTGAGAAGAGGCTTTGCTCAGCAGTGGGCATTTATAGGCTGTTGATGAAGATGATGATGATGATACATAGGAACACTCCTGTCATAGTATCTACGCCTGATAGACTGGAGATCGTATTTCAAGGCCGCTCTACACATTAGACCAACGCTTTGGGCCAATATGGGGTAAGCCGGTAAACGAGCCGACAGGCCAGAAACGCTTTATTCTTTTAAGGGGGGAAAGTCATCGAATGACTGCTCCCGCCTGGGTGAGGCGGGAGGTAGTGTCAGACTCTTACTGACTAAAAACCACCCTGTTCCTTCTCCTGCACGTCGAGCCGGAGCCCCGGTAACCCGTTAGGTTCTCCGCGATGGCCAGAAACACTAGAGGCGTTCTAAATGCGTCACCGGATTTATGGGGATTAGAAATTTGTGGATTGTTGGGGATTCAGGGATTGGGGGATTGGGGGAGAAGAGGGGGGGCGGTAATTGGGCCTCCGGTAAGCACACTCAGACGACGAAATACAATGCAACATTGCTTCACGTCGGTTTTCGACTCGGCCGGATAGGGGTTGTATAGTTTGACATTGAATAATTCAATTGAGATTTTATTGGATTGAAATGGCATTGACATTATTTAAGAGTAAGCACCCAGGTTTATCAGTGAGCTGTTACCAGGTGTCTGTCAACGAGATACACACTAGCGACCTCTAGTGAGCAAAATATCTCCACATGAGTTCAACTTACATATTCTGTGACGTATTTCTCTTGGTCCGTCGTAACGACATCCGGGACGGCATCACGGGGCCGCGACGGGAACGAGACGATGTCTGCTGTTGCTCTTGTGATATCACTGCAACAGATATGTAATACATACAAATTACTAGCTACTTCCCCGCGGTTTCACACGCTCTGCTCAGCTCCTATTGGTCGTAGCGTGATGTTTTATAGCCTATAGCCATCCTCGATAAATGCGCTATCCAACACAAGAAGAATTATTCAAATTAGACTTGTAGTTACGGAGATTAGCGCGTTCAAACAATATAATCCGCTTTATATAATAGTATAAGATAAGATGACATGATACAAGAAACTACTGCATAGATTTGAATCAAATTTGGTATAGATATAATCAGACGTGCGCGCGCGCCGCGGGGCTAGTCAATAGTAGATAGTACAGTAATAAACAGTAGACCTGCTTCGATGCAGCGCGCGAGCTGGTCGATGCAGGGCGGCGCGGCGGGCGCGCAGTCGACACAGACGTGCGCGCGCGCCGCGGGGCTGCAGGCGCCGTGCGCGCCGTCGCTGCCGCACAGCAGGCACAGCTTGATGCACCACGGCCTGGGACAATCACGCATCTTGACTCATTGTTTCATTATAGCCTAGGAACTTACTCTCGAATCCAAGTCCGATCGATCGATATTCATATTGCGGAAGGATGATGCTAGATTAAAATCGGTGCCACAAGTTTTAAACAAAATTATTCTAAAACCCTTTAAGCTGTTTCCTTTATATTATGGATTATTCCAGCTGTGACCATAAACTACTTTATATTTTGTTATGGGTTTGTGGCACCGACTTCTAATCTATCAGTGGGTGTGTAAGCTATAAGTATCTACATATGACCAATAATAGTTATTTTTTATTCTTTTTTAACCGACTTCAAAAAAGGAGGAGGTTCTAATTTGACCTAATATATGCTTTTTTATGTTTGTTCGCCGATATCTCCGTCGTTTATGAACCGATTTTAAAAATTCTTTTGTTGTTGGAAAGGAGATAGTACCAGAATGGTCCCATGATAAGAAAATCAGGATCTGATGATGGAAGACCAGGGAAACCCAGGGGAACTTTTAAAAATTATAGGGGCGACTAGGGCATTTGGTAATTTTTTCATTAAGTATTAAAAACCACTACAATCTGATAAAAGTCTGGAGCCGATCTGATGATGGAGCCGAGAGCCAGTCGAGGGAACTCCTCAACGGTTAACAGTAGCTACCTTGTGTTTGGGTTTGATTAATTTGTATTGATGAGGACTTTACACCTGGGTGGGGTGTAATTGTCAATAAGTGTCTGATGATGAAGTAGTACAAGTGAAACAAGTGAATTTATTTCTGCAAATAGGCTACAAGGCAGCACTTTTACACGTCAATTTATCAAGCGAACGATGAGGCCGACATTTCCTAACTGACTACTCTGAGAAGAAATGCCGAAACAAACTCAGAGGTCCGTCTCTTTTAAAGTCCAGACAAATGTGTATAAAAGATTATGAGTGAGAACCGTGCAAGTTCTTTCTGTAGTGGCCTGTTGAGGAAAGAACCACAACAGTTTGAGTGGACCCGCTCTGAAGGTAGTACGCATGTGTCGGTTTACAATCAGATCAATTAACAGGTGAGGCTGACAGATTCGACTAACACCACCAACCTAAAGAACATTTGCGTGGGTCGCAAAAATACTCAAACTGTCAGGTAATTAGAAAAGAAATGGCGAGGCAAAATCTCGCACGGTCCTAGCACTAACAATTGTAAAATTAAAAGTAAATGTTAAGGTTGAAAAAAATATAAATAAAAAAAAAATGTTCAAATGAAAAACAATGTCACATTAAAGTAGGTAATAATGTCAAATTGCATATAAAAAAGAAATGTAACTACATGTTACTAACGTCAACATGACCTGTGTGGACATTACAGCAGTTTATTCCCAAGCCCGACTATCATCTAGGTAGTCTTTTATTTTATAAAAAGCTTTACTATAAAGTTTATCTTTAATGACATTTTTAAATTTATTTAGACTTAAATTTTGGATATGGCTAGGAATTTCATTGTTAAAGCATATACACTTACATCTGAACGAACCACTTATTTTCTTAAGTCTAGTAGTGGGAACAACATATTTGTCTTTGTTTCTTGTATTGATATTATGTATATCACTATGCTTTTTAAATAAACTTTTGTTTTTATGAGCATATATAGTACATTTTCATAAATGTATTGAGAGGCAACAGTCATTACATTAATTTCTTTAAATAGTTCCCTGAGAGAGTACCTCGGACTAAGATTATAAATTGATCGAATGGCCCTCTTCTGCAGAACAAAGATAGATTGAATGTCAGCAGCATTCCCCCATAGGAGAATACCATATGACATGACACTATGAAAATAACTAAAGTATACTAATCGCGCTGTATCTACATCGGTTAGATTTCTAATTTTTTTAACGGCATATGCTGCAGAACTGAGCCTTTTCGATAACTTATCTATATGTGGAGCCCACTGGAGCTTAGCGTCTAGGGTTATACCTAAAAAGACAGCAGAATCTACAGGGCTCAACTCCTCACACTTCGATGCAGCGCGCGAGCTGGTCGATGCAGGGCGGCGCGGCGGGCGCGCAGTCGACACAGACGTGCGCGCGCGCCGCGGGGCTGCAGGCGCCGTGCGCGCCGTCGCTGCCGCACAGCAGGCACAGCTTGATGCACCACGGCCTGGGACAATCACGCATCTTGACTCATTGTTTCATTATAGCCTAGGAACTTACTCTCGAATCCAAGTCCGATCGATCGATATTCATATTGCGGAAGGATGATGCTAGATTAAAATCGGTGCCACAAGTTTTAAACAAAATTATTCTAAAACCCTTTAAGCTGTTTCCTTTATATTATGGATTATTCCAGCTGTGACCATAAACTACTTTATATTTTGTTATGGGTTTGTGGCACCGACTTCTAATCTATCAGTGGGTGTGTAAGCTATAAGTATCTACATATGACCAATAATAGTTATTTTTTATTCTTTTTTAACCGACTTCAAAAAAGGAGGAGGTTCTAATTTGACCTAATATATGCTTTTTTATGTTTGTTCGCCGATATCTCCGTCGTTTATGAACCGATTTTAAAAATTCTTTTGTTGTTGGAAAGGAGATAGTACCAGAATGGTCCCATGATAAGAAAATCAGGATCTGATGATGGAAGACCAGGGAAACCCAGGGGAACTTTTAAAAATTATAGGGGCGACTAGGGCATTTGGTAATTTTTTCATTAAGTATTAAAAACCACTACAATCTGATAAAAGTCTGGAGCCGATCTGATGATGGAGCCGAGAGCCAGTCGAGGGAACTCCTCAACGGTTAACAGTAGCTACCTTGTGTTTGGGTTTGATTAATTTGTATTGATGAGGACTTTACACCTGGGTGGGGTGTAATTGTCAATAAGTGTCTGATGATGAAGTAGTACAAGTGAAACAAGTGAATTTATTTCTGCAAATAGGCTACAAGGCAGCACTTTTACACGTCAATTTATCAAGCGAACGATGAGGCCGACATTTCCTAACTGACTACTCTGAGAAGAAATGCCGAAACAAACTCAGAGGTCCGTCTCTTTTAAAGTCCAGACAAATGTGTATAAAAGATTATGAGTGAGAACCGTGCAAGTTCTTTCTGTAGTGGCCTGTTGAGGAAAGAACCACAACAGTTTGAGTGGACCCGCTCTGAAGGTAGTACGCATGTGTCGGTTTACAATCAGATCAATTAACAGGTGAGGCTGACAGATTCGACTAACACCACCAACCTAAAGAACATTTGCGTGGGTCGCAAAAATACTCAAACTGTCAGGTAATTAGAAAAGAAATGGCGAGGCAAAATCTCGCACGGTCCTAGCACTAACAATTGTAAAATTAAAAGTAAATGTTAAGGTTGAAAAAAATATAAATAAAAAAAAAATGTTCAAATGAAAAACAATGTCACATTAAAGTAGGTAATAATGTCAAATTGCATATAAAAAAGAAATGTAACTACATGTTACTAACGTCAACATGACCTGTGTGGACATTACAGCAGTTTATTCCCAAGCCCGACTATCATCTAGGTAGTCTTTTATTTTATAAAAAGCTTTACTATAAAGTTTATCTTTAATGACATTTTTAAATTTATTTAGACTTAAATTTTGGATATGGCTAGGAATTTCATTGTTAAAGCATATACACTTACATCTGAACGAACCACTTATTTTCTTAAGTCTAGTAGTGGGAACAACATATTTGTCTTTATTTCTCGTGTTGATATTATGTATATCACTATGCTTTTTAAATAAACTTTTGTTTTTATGAGCATATATAGTACATTTTCATAAATGTATTGAGAGGCAACAGTCATTACATTAATTTCTTTAAATAGTTCCCTGAGAGAGTACCTCGGACTAAGATTATAAATTGATCGAATGGCCCTCTTCTGCAGAACAAAGATAGATTGAATGTCAGCAGCATTCCCCCATAGGAGAAAGACATAGGAGAAACCATATGACATGACACTATGAAAATAACTAAAGTATACTAATCGTGCTGTATCTACATCGGTTAAATTTCTAATTTTTTTAACGGCATATGCTGCAGAACTGAGCCGTTTCGATAACTTATCTATATGTGGAGCCCACTGGAGCTTAGCGTCTAGGGTCATACCTAAAAAGACAGTAGAATCTACAGGGCTCAACTCCTCACCCTTAATTAGCACGCTGGTTTTCACATGTCCAACATTTGGTGTTGTAAATTTAATGCATTTAGTTTTAGTTCCATTTAGTAATAGGTTGTTGGAATTGAACCAGCGTACTATCTCCGAGAGAGCACTGTTCACATTATCAATAACTAATTGTCTACGTTTAAGTTTAAATAATAACGAAGTATTATCCGCAAACAGTACTATCCCGTGGTTATCCCTTACAAGGTAAGGTAAGTCATTTATATATATAAGAAACAAAAATGAGCCGAGAATTGACCCCTGCGGAACCCCCATCCTGATAACAGACCCAGCGGAGACTTTTCCGTTTATCTCAACTCTCTGAATTCTGTGACTTAAGTAAGAGGTAAGAAGATCCAGAGATTTACCTCTTATTCCATAGTGGGATAGCTTCTTGATCAATGTATCATGAAGGACACAATCGAACGCTTTGGATAAGTCACAAAAGATGCCCAAAGCGTCGCTTGAGTCCTCCCACGCGTCATATATGTGATTAAGAAGTTCAACACCGGCATCAGTTGTTGAACTACCCCTGGTAAAACCAAACTGTTTATCATGGGACAATTTATGTCTATTAAAAAATCTTTGGTCTAAAGTTGGTGGGGTCAGAAGTACTACCTGATTTAAATAACGAAGTTATTCTACTATTTTTCATAAGATCAGGAAACACACCGCGGTCGATACAGTTATTAAAAATTAGAGCTAATACAGGTGCTATAATAGCTATAACAGAGCTGGCGATGTACACAGAATTACCCCACAAATCTGCAGTCTTTTTCTTATTCAAAGTATGGAACGTTTTGACTATATCTGTATAATCTATGGAGTTCAAAAGAGAACCCTATGTTGCAAGCTATAACATTTTCTTTTAGTAAAGATTCTGCAACAGTGGGAGATGAATTCAATGACTTTCAATGAAATTAACTGTCCGCAATGATCTGAATCAAGCAATGATATAATTTCTTAACTGGTACAATGTCAGTATAAATATTATCCAGGCAAGTGGCACTAGTGGGAGTTATCCTAGTGGGCTCCTCCAGAAATAAGTTCGCAAGGTTAAATGAGGCAAATAAACTTACAATTTTAGTGCTTAGACTAGAATTCTCTAACAAATTTACATTAAAATCGCCACAGGTAATGATGAATTTCTTTGAATTACAGAGTTTATTTAATACTTCATCTATTACTGTTTCCAAACAGTCATACAAACCTGAAGGTGGTCTATACACACTTAAAACAATAAACCGCTCTAATTCCACACAAGCTATTTCAACAGTGCGTTCAACAGAGTAACTAACTATATCCTTGCGTTCTTTAAATTTAAGTTTGTTATTTATTAATATTAGTGAACCACCATATTGTATAGCGTTCTCCCTGCTGAACGAGCTACCAATCTGGTGGCACCGACTCCTAACCTATCAGTGGGTGTCGCGAAGAACCTAACGGGTAACCGGGGCTCCGGCTCGACGTGCAGGAGAAGGAACGGGGTGGTTTTTAGTCAGTAAGAGTCTGACACTCCCTCCCGCCTCACCCAGGCGGGAGTAGTCATTCGATGATTTTCCCCCCTTAAAAAAAAAAAAAACCTATCAGTGGGTGTGTAAGCTATAAGTACGTATGGCCAATAATAGTAATTTTTTCCTTTTTAGTTTTTACGTTTCGTTAGTCATTCGTTTTTGAAGTCGGTTTTTTTAAACGCAGTTTTTTAATTTTATTTTATACTTTTTAGTTTAGTACTTTGATATATTATATAGCCGCCGAGGAGTTCCCTCAACTATCGTACTACTTCATAATCAGACCCTTAATGACAATTACATCCCATCTAGGTGTAAAGTCCTCATCAATACAAATGATCAAACCCAAACACAAGGTAGCTACTGTTAACCGTTGAGGAGTTCCCTTAACTACTGTACTACTTCACCATCAGATCCTTATTGACAATTACACCCCACCTAGGTGTAAAGTCCCCATCAATACAAATTAATCAAACCCAAACACAAGGTAACTACTGTTAACCGTTGAGGAGTTCCCTCGACTGGCTCTCGGCTCCATCATTAGATTAACTCCAGACCTTTATCAGATTTTCTTATCATAGGACCATTCTGGGACTATCTCCTATCCAACAAAAAAAGAATTATCGAAATCGTTTCATAAATAACGGATATCGGCGAACAAACATAAAAAAAAGCATATATACGGTCGAATTGAGAACCTCCACCTTTTTTTGAAGTCGGTTAAAAATAAAGGGCATTGACTAAAATTGGTGCCTTTCTTTTTTCTGGCGGCAGTCGATGATTTATGATTTATATAAAGCGTGATGTTTTATAGCCTATAGTCATCCTCGATAAATGCGCTATCCAACACAAAAATAACTATTCAAATCAGACTTGTAGTTACGGAGATTAGGGCGTTCAAACAAGCAAACAAACAAACAAAAAAAAACAAACTCTTCCGCTTTATATAATAGTATAAGATTTCATCATCTCATTTCATTATTTTCATAATTCGTATTATAATAGAATACTCACCCATTGTCAGCATCATGGCTCCGTCCCATGGGACATTTACAGTCGGCGGCAGAGCAAGGTATTTCACGTTCGTAAATCTCAGAGAACGCGTTTTGTTCCAACTCCCACGCTGCGTCTCTGTAAAATAGAAGTTGATTATTAATTATTATTATTCATTTTATATCTATTATCTTTATCATCTGCGTTTGCATTAATATGTATAATGTTACCCACACATGTTTATACAAATAAATATATATCTGTATCTTTATATTATGTTGTCTATTGGCTATGTGCAAAGCGAGTAGTGGCGGACAGATAACGACTGCAGCGCACAACACGGCAGAAATTGGAAACAAATGCGGATGATGCAAACCCGGTTTTTATTATTATATTCATTTTACAGAAAAACTATTGAATAAATTGCACTTAAACAATGTCAAAAATACTATTTTAATTTTTGGTTTTATTTATATTTGCAAAGAAAATTATAATGTTTACATTGTTATTATTTGACAGCTTCCGCAAATGTTGTAAACGCTACGCGTCGCCACCGTCGCGCACATAGCACATATACAAGGTGTTGTTTTAAAGCCGCGTCATTTTCTAGGAGTTAACTCGGCTATCGATTCTGAGTCCGAATCAATGAAAAAAAAATAGTACTTAATTTTTTTTCATTTTTCTGTAAATTACGGAAATACGTAAGTGCGAACTACACGCCGCCGTCTTGTAATTAGTTTTGTAACGCGGCTTAACACACACAAACTCAAACACGTAATTGATATTATTCCTAATTCCACAAAACTCCAATAAGAAACATTGCTGTCGCTTATTCTGAAATTCTGTCGAACTTAAACGATTCATTATAGCCGTATTTTTAACTATTGGCCCGAAACTTTCTCTTACATTGAACCTTTATGACTTCTGTGACATGCTCCCGAGAAATGACACGGTTTCAAAACTACACCTTGTATAGTGTGGGACAAAATTGTGACGTTTTGCATGTGTTACTTACCTGTCTGGCACATAGTATCCCTGCGTGACGACGGCTTGATAGAAGTTGTCCTTGTCATTGCATAGTGGACATTTTAAGTAGTGCATGCCCGCAGTTAAAGCCATCCGCTGTGGACAAAATAGGAAAAAAGATTGACTTACAGACATACCAATAATTGAACTTCCGAAGAATAATCTGTCACACTCGAATTTTCGTTCGAGCGGATTGTGATTATTGTTTACTAAAAGATTAACTGCACGATTGGTGCGGTGGCTGGGCAACCGGCTGCCGTTCAACGTGTCGCGGGTTCGATTCCCGCACGGAACAACACTTTGTGTGATCCACAAATTGTTGTTTCGGGTCTGGGTGTCATATTGTGTATGTGAACTTGTATGTTTGTAAACGCACCCACGACACAGGAGAAAATCCTAGTGTGGGGCAACGTTTAAAAAAAAAAAAAAAAAAAATTTGATACATATGACTTCACTTTCGAGAAAATCATGGCGGACGGCGTTTTGGTCACGTGACATGTCCTTATCCTTACTAATATCCTTACTATCCTTACTAATATTATAAATTGGAAAGTGAGTTTGTTTGTTTGTTTGTTTGTTCCGCTATCACACCGTAACTACTACATCGATTGCTTTGATTTTTGCAGACGTAAAGTTAGAAGTCTGGATTAAAAAATAGGGTACTTTTTATCACAGAAAAATTTGATATGCCTGAGGGTAAACAAAAGTATTGGTATAGCAATACTTTTGTTTTCACCAATACACACATCGCCGCTGTGTGTATTGGTATATATCACATAGGCTACGTTTTATCCTTTTGTGACGCGAGCGAAACCGCGGGTAAAAGCTAGTAGATAATAAAACTTTGATTTTAACTTTGAAATTTAAAATGTTTTTATGGAAAAACAACATTTCTTTTTTATTCCTCACGTTTTAAACTCACGATACAAATCACATAACGTTATAATTTATTGTTGATAGATGAGAATACCCTATTAAAGTAGGGTCCCGAAAATTAAAACGTCAAACAGTACATCTCATACTAATTTCTGCCTTGTTTCATCCCTTTTTCGTTCGTAATAAATGTCATTGTGGTAGGTAATCTTCGAAGTTTCGTCCGAAATTTCGTTTTTCGTCGTATCAGAGTAGACATAAGGAATGGAGAACACTTATACTTTTTATATAAATAAAACTAAAGATGTTGGTATGTTTGTTTTAACGCACTTATTTCAGGATCCAATAGTCCGAATTGAAAAATTCTTATTGTTTTGGATACCCCATTTATCCATGAAGGTTATAAAACATCACGCTACGATCAATAGGCGCCCAGCAAAGCGGGTGAAACTGCAGAAGTAGCTAGTAATGCATATCAGTTATATGGGATATGGGATTTTGTTGCATATAGGATTGCCGAACAAGATATTCGGTGTCCTTTGGTAGATAATTTATAGTGAACTTTATCGGTTTTTTAAAAATTCCTTTGAAATAGCACTGGTATTTGGTATCTACAAACAGGGTACAAACACAACGCTTCCGAAACTTTTTAACTGTGGGAGAGCCATGCTTCGGCACTGCTGGGCCGGCTCGACGGGAGTGATACTACGGCCGAACAGAAAACCGACGTGAAGCAACGCTTGCGTTGTTTCGTCGAGTGAGTGAGGTTACCGGAGGTCATTTATTTATTTATTACAATTTTTGTCTGTTCGTCTGTATGTATGTCCGACGTCCGTGATGAACTCAAAAAGGACTATATTTACTTCATATTTTGCATAAATATTACTGGAAGGTCGGGTCAACATATAGGCTACATGTAATCACGTTATCACCTACAGGGGAGGAGTTATGAATCACTATTCCACGCGGACGAAGTCGCGGGCACAGTATAGTATATCTATAATAGGATACTTAGATATTTTCTTTGCAAGCAGAATCAGGGGTTAATAGACAGTTTTATAGTAACAAAAACGTCATACTATTTACCTGTAAACAGCTCCTATGGAACCAGGCATCTCTGGCGCAGCATGGCGGCCAGAATGTATTGATAGTAGGATACCCATCCACCGCCTCGTAGCAAATCACACATACCGATTGAAACTCTGATTCTGGACCTAAAATAAATATACAAATTAGAAATAATTAGCATAACATAACATAACATCACGCCTTTTATCCTCGAAGGGGTAGGCAGAGGTGCGCATTTCAACACTTAATGCAACTGTACAATGTAACACCCACTTTTCACTATTTATGTTAGTGAGTGTTACATTGTATAATGATGGTGGACATGCCCCTATGCGTACACCATTGGAGAGTGAGAAGCGGTGATGGTATGTTCCAGCTTACAATTAAACAACTTTTATCAGTTTGTGGATCCCACAAAGAGTTGCTCGTAGTCATAAACCGTGCGGTCTTTTTTTTAAGGGGGGGAAATCATCGAATGACTTCTCCCGCCTGGGTGAGGCGGGAGGGAGTATCACTCTTACTGACTAAAAACCACCTCGTTTCTACTGCTATACTTCGAGCCGGAGCCCCGGTAACTAGAGTTGCAAAAAAAAAACGTTTTTTTTTTCTAATGTGAAAAAAAACCTGATAAAAAAGTTTTTTTTTCTGGGCCTTGTTTTTTTTTTTCAAGAGTATAATAACTCTCAATCTGTAGAGGAGATGGATGAAGATGAAGAGACAGACGAAAATTCTGAATCTGACAAGACCAATGTAAGCACTGAAACTGATACAGAAAGTGAAGATGAAGAATAAATTGAAAAAAGTTTATTGAATTGTAATTCAATGTTGAAAGTAGTGAATTATGAATAAATAATATTTTTATTTATTATACAAATTTAATTTATAATTGAACTAAAAAAAAAAATTCAAATTTAGAAAAAAAAAACTGTTAATGTAACAAAATAATGTTATGATTGTAGTAGCTTGCTACTGCTACCGCCATCTGTTGGTCTACCTACTATGTCTGTATGTTGTGTCATAAATCAGTCTATAAAAACGAGCCACTGTGTTTTACTTACGAAAACAACGATGCAAAGTTTTTTTTCATGTTTTTTTTTCAATAAAGTAGAAAAAAAAAACAAATCGTTTTTTTTTTCATTTTACATCACTATCGGTAACCCGTGAAGTCTCCGCGGCTCCGAATCAACCCTGGTGCGAAAAATCACCTACATAGGAGTGATCAACAAACCACAATGTTATGCCAAGAGCAGAAAGATATTAAATAACGAAAAGTAGGCTAATACGGTATTTGAACACATGTCAAATTCAATACTTATTTCGAACTGTCAAAAACGACAGTTTTCTATGAATTTTGTACGAGATTGTGAATTGTGACGTCACGGTTTTTTAGCGTCAAACAGATAATTATTTCTTAAAAATTTGCTGCAAAATACTCAAATTATAATGACTAACTTGTTTAATCGTAATTTTCATTCGATTCCAGATTTGACAATTTCAGTGTTGCAACGTTATGACAGGTACTAAATAGTGACGTTGCGAAATTATTCGATATGGAAATGCAATATTTCTGGATCGAATCTTCTCGTTTATAATTTTACTCTCGTAAACTAAGTATATCAGGAAATTAAATATTTCTGAACCGATAATTTAGTTTTGACGATTAATTAATGATCTGAGACTTTTCTTTTATAATTGTGTGTGAAATAAATAAAAAATGTAATCATGAAGGAACATGACAAATAAAACAGATAGATGTATTATGGTAA